AATGTCTTAAATTCAGATTCAGTAGGTCTTAAATATTTTTGGTCACATTACCGCAAAAATTTCTCCAGTCTGATGGACCCAGTGACTGTTTACAATCATTGGACAGACTGAACATTTTTTCCTCCGCTGTAGTTACTGCGTCATCAGAGAATTGCGACAGCAGAATCCAGTTGAACACCAGCTAGCTGAGCAGTATCCTAGCTGCTTTAAATGGGTTAATGCAAGTTTACTGAAAAATGGCTTGAGAATTGTACTTGCCCGACAGGACTAATAGCCTGATTAAAACTTAAGTGACAAAATATAATCACGCATCAAAACGCGCGAATGATTCTTCTGATTTTATCACATTCAGCTTAAACAGTGATTGATAATTGATAGTGTATTTCTATGATCAATTTCGCGCTGTTGAGGCTCGTGCTGCCTGTCTCTGTGAGAGACTTTCATGGAGAAATCAAATCAAATGAGCGTACGGCACGCATAAAGAAACTCACAGAACAAACATATTTAGTTCAACATTTTTAGACACAATTGATCAATTTTTGTTCTATTTCACCAACGAAAATAGTTCCAAACAAAGATCAGAACAGAATTATTGCGCACATTCTCCAAGCCACACCCGGCGGTTTGTTACTGAATTATTCAGAGGTTTGAAGGAATCGGTTGAATAAGTGACTTACCGCCACCTACTGGCGGTTTAGTCATGCTTAAAAGTATGCATTTTTCCCCAACACATTTCTTATGTATGTTCAAAATTTTATTTACAACATTAATCCCATAACATTATTTATTGCTGTTGTAATTTTGTAATTATTTAATTTGATTGGTAACAGCCCTGTAGTGTATTACATTTCTTGATCAACTGTAAGAATTTGACTTGAAAGATGACACATGCATTTAATAAGGTTAAAAAAAAAAAATTGGCCAGGCTTGGTCTTAAATTTCACATAAGGTGGTATTAAAAAGGTCTTAAAAAGTCTTAAATTTAACTTGTTCATGTAGACACCCTGATTGAGCGCAGCCAAATGAATATTAATCAGGTTGTGTGCGTTCGCTCGAACTGATTTGCTGAAATCAAGACAGGGACGATATTAGGTGAGCGCCAGCCAATGAGATTGCTGTTTGCTCATTAGTTCCGCCCACTACCGGAGAAAGTGGTAGTTCTTGATAGCTGAAGAATTCCAAAGGAACTCCGTTATTTTGATCGGAAAATACAACAAATAATATCGTTTACATGTAGCGTGTCAATTCCCTCTCTCTCTGCGTGTGTGTGAAACAAAGCGACGGCGAGTCGTGCGCCTTCACACTAGAGTTTACGGTACGTTAAATACAGGTGCGTTGCACATCCATTCAGATGAACTGAAAAACAGCACAGATCGCTTGACGGAGAGTGAAACTCTGAAGCGCTCAGTCTGAGTGTTCTGTGAGTGAAAATATATCTGTGCTAAACTTATACTTGGCCTCCTACTCACACACTGGCAAGTAAAATCTGAGAATTTATTAGCAATTGGCTAATATTAGACATAATTTAGTCGCCCAGAGTGAAGATTTAGTCGCATATGCGAGTGATTTACTCGCAATGTAGAGGGTTGATTTTACTGTATATTCTGCACATCATGTTTCACTACCTACTTCGTATTATTCTTTAAGAGCTGTGTTAGTCTTTGACGTCAGAATTTCTGCATCAGATGAGTGGTCTTTCAGGACAAGGCTGCATGGCTGTAACAGTAGCCTCAGTGTATATAATCTTGTCTTTTCCTCACAGTCCTGTACTGGGTGTAGGGGAGCAGTCTGCCAAGTAGATATTTCACTGAGGTGTGGTGTGCATGTTTTCAATTAAATGTGACCGTGCTTTGTGGAACTTTTATTTACAAAGTAGAAATGTATTTTTTGCTGCTCTACATAGAATTAGCCCTTGGCCAAGGTAACAGACGGGCAACTTTGACCTTCCACAAAATGGTTCAGTCGCATTAAAATTGCTTCTGCTGATAGTGTTCTCTTACATTGTTTAGAACAAATTACTGTTTTGTGAAATAAAGTTATTTTCAGATAATATTACTTATTTTTTTCCCCTTTCTTTAAAGTCGTGGTTAAACCAAAGTAACAACAGTTTTCTCTATTGTGACGCATCTAAATGAAATGGGTTATTGTAAAAGGAAAAAAAAAAGTGGGATGGGGTCTTTGGTCTATTGGTTCTTGGTTGGATGGTGACAGAATTTAAGAAATGGGTGAAGTTTAAGCGGACAAAATGTTTGGAGAAGTCCGGCAGACGTCAGCAGAGAGAAGTCTGTAACTTCATCACAAAATTGATTTATGACATTTTGATAAATTTATGAGGTAAAACAAATAAAATTTAAACTTGTATGAATTATTCCCGATAAGATCAGAAACCTGCATATGGAAAATAGATTTTTTTTTTTTTTTTATAATTGTAAAAAGGTTTCAGTTGGGTGGCCATGTTGATAAATGGATTGTCTTAACTGCCAGTGTTGTTTTGTTTTATCTGTCATAATTTCACAGATACACAAAACACTGTTCCTTTATGCAGTAATCACGTGCTATCTCCTCTCTTAGTGGCACACTCGGACTCCGTGTAAACGTGGAATTTTGACCATGAGCTCAGTCGCTGTACTTACGCAAGAAAGCTTTAATGAGCATCGCAGTGGCCTTCTGCCGGAGCAGGTCAAAGGTATGTGGCAGTTTTGACCATTTCTGACTTGCCGGTAACCGTTCTCTGGCAAAGTGATTGTTGAATTTTGTACCTCTTTTCCCTTTAGCTGCTGTGGCAGGCCCTAGTGGTGCTGAAGATGAGGATAGCCTTCCCACCTACAAGGATGCCTTTCCCCCTCTGCCTGAAAAGCCTTTGCCAGAGGGGGTACAGGAGACTGGAAATGCCTGGACGTCTAAGATCAAACCTCTCAAGTCCTCAGCAATTACCCAGGTACAGCGATCAAGCTAGTTACAGTCACTATCTTACCTGGGGAATATTGATTCAAATGTTTGACAGGTTTCCGCTTTGATAAATACAGGTTTTCCATGTGCCTCTGGAAGAGCGCAAGTACAAGGACATTAACCAGTTTGGAGAAGGAGACCAGGCTAAAGTATGTCTTGATATTATGCACAAGACTGGAGCCCACCTGGAACTCTCCATGGCTAAAGACCAAGGCCTCTCCATAATGGTCTCTGGGAAGCATGACGCAGTCATGAAAGCCCGCAAAGAGATTGTGTCCCGACTGCAGACTCAGGTAATATGAATTTTTATTCATAATTTCTATCAGTAGTTGTATGCTTTCAACATGGTATGTATTGGGTAACTTGCAGGAAGGCACAAGATGTTGGTATTATTTTTTAACACTCATTTAAAGTCAATTGTTAAAACTAATTTAATGAAATTGCTAAAAATATTCTTTAGCTAATCTCAAAATGGACATCAATTACTATTTAAAACACTTTAGTTTTTATTTTTTTAAATGTAGATAAAATGGTATAGATTTTTAATATTAATGATTTATTGCTAGTGGTCATAAAAATACCTTGAAAATGCTTATCGGCTTGTCTGTATCAGCCAGAATTATATTATTTATGAATCACTAGTATCTTCTGTTATTACTTGACTACAGGCTTCAGCTACTGTGGCCATCCCCAAAGAACATCATCGCTTTGTCATCGGCAAGAGTGGGGAGAAGCTGCAGGAGCTCGAGCTGAAGACTGCCACCAAGATCCAGATCCCTAGACCTGAAGACCCCAGTAACCTCATCAAGATCTCTGGAACCAAGGAAGGCTTGGAGAAGGCCAAGCACGAGATCCTGCTCATCTCTGCTGAGCAGGTCTGGAGCTTAATTTCAATTTAGGCTTTTGTTTTCTTGCTAATCACACAGTTACGAATCTGATTATGTGAGATAGTGCTAATTATTTATTTACTGATTTAATTTGAGTAATAATCAAACCTAGTAAATGATAATTTCATTAATTCATTGCAGGATAAGCGTGCTGTGGAGAGAATGAACATTGAAAAGGTGTATCACCCCTTCATCACTGGAGCTTATAGCAAGCTGGTGGGGGAGTTGATGCAGGAGACAGGAGCCCGCATTAATGTCCCTCCACCAAGTGTGAACAAAACTGAGATCGTCATCACTGGGGAGAAAGAGCAGGTGGCCCTGGCCATGGTTAAGATCAAGAAGATTTATGAGGAGAAGGTAAGCAATGACAGAATAATTAATGGACTTTTGTTGACTTTTCCAAAATCCACAGTATGCTTCTGAAACTCACTGGGCCGAATTTCCATGTGAAAAGTAATGATAGACCTGAAAGCGACTGAGGAGAATGTTTTAAATGTGGCCTTTTGCTCATTTCAGAAGAAGAATGCCACCACTATTGCAGTGGAGGTGAAGAAATCTCAGCACAAGTATGTAATTGGGCCTAAGGGTAACACCCTGCAAGAGATCCTGGACAGGACCGGCGTCTCGGTCGAGATCCCACCCCTCGACAGCAGCTCAGAGACAGTAATCCTGCGTGGGGAGCCAGACCGGCTGGGCCAGGCACTCACTGAAGTGTATGCCAAGGTAAACAAGCTCGTTTTCCTCCCCCCTGCATGTTTCCGTACAAGAATTCCTTCAATCAAGCTCTCTTTTGCACTGTTCTCTTTTAGCTTTAATTTAGGAAATGTATTGAAAATGTTACTGCAGAAATGCTATCAATTTTACTGTATAACCTTTGACCCTTACTTTCTTTGTACAGGCCAACAGCTACACTGTGTCCTCAGTCTCTGCTCCCTCTTGGCTTCATCGTTTCATTATTGGCAAGAAAGGACAAAATCTGGCAAAGATCACGCAGCAAATGCCCAAGGCGAGTCAACTTTCTGCTAATCATGTCGGAGTGCTAAGCCAGATTTCTCCATTATCTTGCTCAATGAAGGGAATGTGTAGATGTGGCTTATGTTCAGCAGATGTTTTTGACCAGAGTAACATGTCAAAGTGCCAGTACAAAGGTTTCAGTAGTTGCGTCAACCAGCACAGGTAGTTCAGAATGACAATGGCCTCTAGCCAAGAAGAAACACCCAAGATTTACAAATACATTCGTTTTTTTTTTTTGTATTAGTCTACTAAAATGACACACAGCCAGGATGCTACTGTATACACCCTCATGTTGTTCCAAACCCATACATCTTCTGTTTGTTCTTGAAACAAATACATTTAATCTGTATTTTAATCTGTAATATGTATCTGTTCCTCTATTGAAAGAACACCAATATTGATGCTTCAAAAAGTTCATAAAGACATAGTAAAAGTAATCCATATGAATCATTTAATCAGCATGTTTTATATGTTGAACAGGTTTAATTTAGGCTTTTATTCATGTGAACATTGATTAATGCAGAGTGCATCAAAGTAATGAAATAAATTGAAGCTCAACCGTATTTGATTGAGAACAAACCTTAGTGGTTTGCGCATCAAGAAAGTAGACAATCTTTCATTAACAATATGAATGTTGATTTTGTTAAATGTAAGAAATGCTTAAATGAAATTTGTTTATCCTATAAAATGTCTTTTTAGAAGACTTCAGTGGTGTGATTCATATGGATTACTCTTAAAATTGTCTATGAACTTCTTGAAGCATCAAAGTTTTGCTGGAATAGACCATCAATGGAGGGGCAGAAATATCTTACGTTTTATTAAAACATCTCCATTTTTGTTTCAAAGATGAATGGAAGATTCATAGGTTTGGAATGACGTGAAGCTAAGTAAATGACTAAATTTTAATTTTTTGGGTGAACTCACCCTTTGAAATATGAGGCCAGTAAGACGGTGCTCTGTGATTATCAACAGGTGCACATTGAGTTCACTGAGGGAGAGGACAAGATCACGCTGGAGGGTCCCACCAAAGATGTACAGATAGTACAGGTTCAGATTGAAGCCGTTGTTACAGATCTGGTAAGACTTTAACTTCCCTATTATTTGACAAATGCTTCCACTTGCTTTGTTATATTTTGGCGTATTATAGGCCTCTATGTCCTAAACAATTTAGTTGATTTTTCATGTATTCTTTATAGGTTAGCCGAATGGACTACACTGAGATTAGTGTAGACCCCAAGTTCCACCGACACTTAATTGGGAAAGGTGGCGCAAACAGTGAGTACAGCTGTTTTGATGTTTATAGCAGATATTATGTGAACACATTAATGTCATTCATAAACCCATGTTTTTTTCCATCCACATCTAGTTAACCGCATAAAGGAGCACCACAAAGTGTCAGTCCGCATTCCACCTGACAACGAGAAGAGTAACCTGATCCGTATCGAGGGTGACCCCCAGGGAGTGCAGGAGGCCAAGAAGGAGCTGCTGGAGCTAGCGTCACGCATGGCAAGTTGGATAGATTCATAATTGAATAAAGAAGGCTCCGTTTACCATTCTCTCTTCACAATGTTCTTTAGGTTAGGGTTTACTAGTTATGTGCGTGTATCGTTTGCTTTTGTCTTAGATGATTTACTTGTTTACTGTCTGCAGTAAATTTGTTTGCGTATTAATTAAATTGGAGTCAGATGCATGTGTAGCTTGTGGAAAAATAAACATCCGTAGTCTCTACAGCCTCAGAGTATAAAGTCCTCTGGGTTATTTGCCTGGCAGCTCTTGACTGAAAGTCTCTAAGAATGTCATGATTTTAAAAGGAGAATGAGCGTACAAAGGACATGATCATTGAACAGCGTTTTCATCGAGCCATCATCGGACAGAAAGGGGAGAAAGTTAAGGAAATTCGGGATAAGTTCCCTGAGGTAAATGTTTTAAGATACATGGAATATTTTTCAAATAGCACATTTCTGTCTCTTACAGTGGAGAGAACCTTTTTCCCCATTTGCTTTCAGGTCATCATCAACTTCCCTGACCCAACGCAGAAAAGTGACATTGTACAACTACGTGGACCTCGCACTGAGGTGGAAAAATGCACAAAGTTTATGCAGAAAGTGGTGGCTGAAATGGTACACACTATTTATTTATTCATTTATTTATTTTGAAATTTCCTGAATTTTCTATTGCCAAGTCACAATTCTACTCAATTGCTGATGTTGGGAATAGGGCTGGGTATTAGGGCTGTGCGATATTGAAAAAAAAGTGATATGCGATACCTTGTTAAAAAAATGCGATATTCGATATGCGATACGATATTGCTTAAAGAGTTACAAGAATGATCGTTGAGACGGGTACTATTGACATAATTCTGTGTGTATGTGTGTGTTCAAACATGAGGAGGAGATGCGAAAGACGAATCAACTCGTTCGCGTGCCCTCTGAAACGCGTGTGTGTGTGTACGCTTGCTTTGCACCTGTGTGGCAGAACTGAAGAGACGCTGCGGCTTGTGCGCGCGCTTCAGGTGTGAGTCAGACAGCAAGACTAGACGGCAAAGAGTTGTTTTCTGCAACTTATTGCACTTAACTCTAAAACTATTTAACTCAAACTATTTTATGTTTTCAGCTTGTTGACATTTTTACAGACTCAAAGACTCGATCTCCTGAGCCACTGCACAAAGGAACAAAATGTAACCAACACAACAAATCAGTGCAAATAGTTTTCAGTTTCCACGTCTTTTAGGCTGTTTGTTTTAAAATGCATAGCTTAAAATCATTTTCTATTAATTTTCCACTGATTTACTGATGAGCATTAGCTGCTTCTAGCTCTGTCCGCCTGTGTTTTCTCTTCCGCGATCGGGTGTTTACAGGAGAAATACAGGGTGTTTACAGGTGAAATGCTAAGCAGGTGTAGCTATTATCTTGATATAAAAGGCTACATGTAACATATTGCAGCAACATTATATGGCCAAAACACATTAGATTGCAATCAAGTTTATTGCAAACACTGGATGGTTGTTTAAAGTGAGTTTTGAGTGAAAGCGTAGTATAAATCTTATAAATTGCCTTATTTCGCATGATGCTACAGTGATACTACAGCATGAATGGTCACGTGAAGTGTTATCGTTCGTGTAGTGTGGACAGATCTTTTCTGAAACCCAGTGGAAATGCCAGTATGGATGAGGATCATTTTCATTTTAAAATGCCATTTTAAAACGAAAAGGCACTAGTGTAAATGCAGCCTTGCATCTATGGCGATTGTGACGCTTACACACTACACTTCACGTGTGAGCCCCGTCTCTGGGTGCAATTGGCGTAGACTAGTAGGTGTGTTCGACTTGACGCATCGCTGCACAGACTGATCGGTTTATGACATCAACATACCGTGAGAGCTATAGAAAGTAGACTGCCTCCGTATGCTTTCGAATCGCTCTCGCGGTATTTTGATGTCAAACACCGATTGATCTGCGCCGTGCCGCTTCAAGTTGAACACACCTAATGTTTTTCCTTGACACCTCACCAGAGCCAATTACCAGCACTTGATTTAAGCACATCAGGCATGCTGCATGCTTACTGGCTCACTGACGTTGATGAGATTAACCCCTTAGGTATCGAAATGTGGTACTGAACGACAAGACATTTTTTGATACTCGATGGTATCGAGGCAATTCGGTCGGTGCCTAAAAAAGTATCGAACTCGATACCCAGCCCTAGTTCGGAATCAGGATATCAGGAACACTAATTCGGGCATTGGCGAGGGTTTTGGTCCACTTAACATCTGGTCACATCTTGATTTTCCCATGACGCAATTACCTTATCGGTTATTATTCCATCAATCATTCTCTATTTATTTTATTATTTTTAAAATTATATCTATTTCTATTATATAACACGGGCTGCAGTTCTGTCATCTGCCACTTTAAAGGTCATCCTCTTTAAAGTTGGGTGGATTCTAAATTTAATCAGGTGGAAAAAGTTGTTGTGAAAGTGATTCCATTTTGTTTCTCTGTGTGCTTACTGCTGTGATGTGCTTCCCTTTTGTCATAGATTTATATTCTTAAAACTGTAGTTAGACGATAACAGGCCTTACAACTCGTAGTGTTTTTTTTTTGTTTGTTTTTTTTAACTCGTACACTAGGCAATGCGCACAGTGTGCATGATACGAATTTCGACATCAGCACAGCACACGTGGTATGCAGCACTGTATGTGCAGCCCGATTGTTTTTT